GGGGGGGGGGGCTTAAGCAATCTGCTCTTCCTATAGTATTATTTTTGTACCCATACCAAACACTGTAAGATCGAGAAAAAAAGGGGGAAAAAAAGGGGGGGGGGGCGTGCAATGCAGGCAACGGAACATTTGAGAATTTCAAAGGATCATTGATTTGGAAAAAGGTCTCAGATTGTTAACACCTCCACCATTGGACAAATCACCCATCGATTTTTAAGACCGTGACCCAATTTTAGATTTGTTTTCTTCATAATGTGCGTGAGCCATTTTCTGATCGCAGTGCGGTCACGGTACTCACACAGGCTACAGCTGTTTCCAGCTGGAGAAAGGAAATGGTGGACGAGCTTATTTTGAATAGCGAAAATAATAACGTGAAAACTGTTATGGTTGAAAGGTGCAGGTGCAATTTTTTATTATTTTTTCAAGGAGTGAATGGTGCAGGTGATTTTTGTTTAAACCTGTGTGTATGGAAAGGGGGGGTGGGTGTTCGACCAAGATATGTAACAGAGAATGATTGTCTGAGGATGGAGAAGAGTTCATGTCTGAGATGGAAAAGATAATGTCTGAGATGGTGGAAGAGATAATGTCTGAGGTGATAGAAGAGATATACCTGGGATGGTGGAAGAGATAATGTCTGAGATGGTGGACGAGATAATGTTTGAGATGATGGAAGAGATATACCTGGGATGGTGGAAGAGGTAATGTCTGAGATGGAGGAAGAGATAATGTCTGAGATGGCGGAAGAGATAATGTCTGAGGTGATGGAAGAGATAATGTCTGAGTTGGTGGAAGAGATAATGTCTGAGTTGATGGAAGAGATAATGTCTGAGTTGATGGAAGAGATAATGTCTGAGATGGTTGAAGAGAAAATATTTGAAGTGATGGAAGAGATAATGTCTGAGTTGATGGAAGAGATAATGTCTGAGTTGATGGAAGAGATGATGTCTGAGGTGATGGAAGAGATAATGTCTGAGTTGGTGGAAGAGATAATGTCTGAGGTGATGGAAGAGATAATGTCATGAGATGGTGGTAGAGATATTGTCAGTGATGTGGAGGAGATAATCAGTAAAATATTTCAGAGTTTATAGGGCATAAAGAATTGAACAGAAAAAATGAACTACACTATTTAAATTCTGATGATATACCTTTAAATGTTATTCTATGTTTCATCAGACACGGTTGCGGTGTAAGTAGATCCTCTGGCTTGTATTAGTTACACGGGAGTAACAAGGGGTTCTTTCAGCTATATCTCCGGGTGAGGGGGGCAGTGCCCCCCCCCCCGGGAAAGCCAAGTGCCCCCCATAGCCATAATCCCCCACTAAATCAACTGGAACTGCTGGCACTGCCCCCCCCCCCCC